TCAGGGCCACATGGAGGGCTGGAGCCTCATGCCCCTAATTTCCCCCAGATACTTATTTCAGGAAAATTTGATTAAAATGAATAGGTTTGGATGCGCACTGTCACCCCACCCTTCAGCCTGAACTAGGGAAATAATCGGCTCAATTCTCTACCAAGCTTCAGTCATCCAAACCCAGAAGAGTTCTGCCCAGCTCCCAGAACGTCGGGCGATTACAGACCAGGTGATAAATGGGAGGGGGGTGGGTAGAGAGGACAGGGTGGGGGACAGAAGTGGCCTGCCCCAAGGGTAAGGGTAGGAGTGGAGGCTTTAAAGCCTCAACCTTATGCCTTCAGGTGGCCCTATTCACAAAAGCCACCCCCCCACCCAGCCCAGCCCCCTTCTGGAGCTGAAGGGCTCCCTCTGTTCCACCAGCTCCAGAGGAAGGGGAGGGACAGCAGGACATTTTGTTTCCCAGAAAAAGCTTAGGTCAAATTTCAAGGACAAAAGTTAGCACTTGGTCTGGGAAAGAAAACTCTACCAAACCGTGTGGACAGGGGTGGGGGGTCAGTCCAGAATGTTCACTCCGGGTGCCTGGGAGTGGGGACGGGGACAATCAAATGCTGACTCCCCCTACCAGGATCTGGCTGGCAGGATATGAGCACCTCCACAACCCAGAAGTAACTCGACAACCACCTCCATTTCTCCTCTGTCCAAATATGGGGGGGAGGGAGGCTGTGGTACTAGTTTGTGGGCCCCACCCACCAGGCCCCCACCACCACTGCATCAGATTTGGTCTGAACGGAAGAGGGCGGTGCCATGAAGGGCTTGCAGCCCAGAGATGTGGCCCAAACCGTTAGCAGAGGGACTGGTAGCCGGCTGGTGTTGCCATGGCAACTTCCTCCCTGCACCGGATCGAAGCATCCATCCTCTGGGCAAATCAGAGCTGGCTGCTCCAACTTCTCCGCCCTTCTCCTGAGCGGGCGGGGGAGAACCGGACGCTGAAACCACTTGGTCAGGCTCAGGAGCCCCATTGCCAATTTCAGACCCCAGTGCAATAACTCCCCGTGCATCCACTGGAAAGGAGATCCAGCCCTGCTCCCAGCTACGCCCCAGGACACAGCAGCCAGGGCAGACCTGTGGATGTGGTCCAAACGAGTGGTCACATAAATGGGCAGCCAGAATGCTTCCTACCCTCTGTTTGGCATACAAGTCCCCCAAGTCTCCATCTTAAGAACCGCTTCAAAGGAAGGTCCAGCTTTACCATAATAGTAATCAAAAGGCAAAAAATAAAATAAAATTTGCCTAGTAAGATTATTAATAATAACATTTTGAGAATCAGTCTTTTACCTGCCCAAGCCCACAAATTCTTCTTTACAGTCATGCTCAGAAACAACTCTCACCTGGTATTAAGACAGATCAAAGTGAACATGCATTGCGATCCACCTCATGCCAGGTTCTGTCCTGAGTCTTTGAACAGCAAGCAGTATGTTAATTAAAAGCATAGATGCTTGAGTCAGAGTGCCCAAGTTCAAATCGCAACTCCCTCACTTCCTGGCTGGGTGACCTTGAACAAATTACTAAGTCTGTGCCTCAGCTTTCTCATCTGAAAATGGGGGTGTTAATGGGATATGAAATTTTACGGGGGTGCTATGAGAAACACTGACCCTGTGAGGGCTCCTGCTGTTATTTACTTCCTCATACAGTTGAGAAAACGGGGTCTCATGTCTAACTCCTCCCCATCCCGAACCTCCCCAATCACAAACTCAGTGTCAGCAAGGCTGAGCAATAAACCCAGGCACAAATGCCCTGGAGCCTGCCTCCCTAAAGCCCCTGCATCCTCGGGAAAAGCGCAAAAACAACATTCTAAGAAAAGCAAGCACACAGAAGATGCCCCTCAACGGGAATCTAGGAACCTGCAGTGACCAGCCTCCTGGGCCAGATGGTGGCTAGAAAGGTGTGGAAAGAGGAAAGTAGGTTCTTTGGCCCACCCCAGTATCCAAAGCCCCCAAGTCCAAAGTAGGAATGTGCTCTGCCCATTTAAGGCTAATGGAAAGCAGAGGGGGAACAGTTCCCTCTTTAGCCCCTTCCCCAGGAAACCAGTGGAAGAGGGCAGATGAGCCTGAGGATGGCTGTGGATGGGAAAGCGGCCTTCCACGGGAGCTGGGAGCAGCAACCAAGGGGAGCCTCCCAGATGAGCCAGAGGCCTGTCAGACACACACACTTCYGAGAGAGCCATCAGGGACAGGGGACAGACCAGGCAGTAAGAGGGCCACAGGAGCGGGGAGAGACAGGTGGAGCCAAGCCTGCACCCGACAGCCTCCTGCCCAAGCCARCTCTGTCCAGGAGCCCAGAGACTCTTCCAACTGCGTTTAGAAATTAGTTCAGCCAAGTGCTTTCTGAAGGATGCATCCAAAAGGCTTCTTTTAGAAGGAAATTAATGACTGGGAAGAGCAAGAAAAATTAAGCACCAAGACAACATTCCCCACTTCCGACTCTCACCAGACACTCATTATTCTTCCGGAAATGAAAGTTGACTTTCTCCCTCCCCCTCCCAAACTCCTGGCAGCCCTAGAGATGAGCAGACAGTGAGCTCAAAATGCCCACACTGAACTCTCAGCCACCAGCTACTCCCTGAGGCCGCCTCACCTGGGCACCATTTTCTACACAGTGAGATCTAGCTCTTTACAACCATTCTCTTTCAAAAAGAGGATTGCTGGTGTTCTGAGAACTGAGGACCTGGTTTTAGTCTCAGATTTGTACCTGCTACATTGGTTGACCTTGGGTTGTAAACACACAGAAGCATACACACACCACATACCAGGGCTTCAGTCACACACACACACACACACACACACACACACGCATGCATACACATACACACTCACATGTATACAAATACACACCCACACCTACCCACTGAGAGTCTAGAAGGGACTGCATAGGATGATTTCTAAATCTCTTCCAAGTGCAACACTTAGGAACTTAAATCTTCTTGAAAACAATATAAGGTGAACCTTTAAAAATATCACTGATATTGCATGCAGTTTTCTGCTGACTTAAGTGAAACCTAGAGCAAGCCACCTGCAGCCAAGGAGTCTGACCCATGACATGGAGCATGACTCTGGAGAAAAAACAAACTATGCTGCCTCAGTTTTTGCAGGAGGAAAAAACTGCAAAACCATGCTCCTGCCCAGGCAGGCTCCTGAGACCTAAGTGACCTGCTGAACTTTAGAAGTGCCTGGCCACCTGGCAAGAGTTGGGAGCCAGCTTACCTGGGCTAGGGGCTTCCTGCCCTACCTTTTTCTCTGCCATTGTCACTTCCTCCAGACCCCCAGGGTAGCCTGCTTTCCTCCCTTCAATTTTGCACTAGTGGAGACCTCAGCATTAGGGAGACTCCCTCAGCTATTTCAAGGGGGAGACTGAAGCCTCTGGGCCTCAATTATTTGCTCTGTAAAATGGCAATCCCATAAAATGGCTCTGTAGTAACCATCTTACCCCCACTCCCACCTTCAGGTCAACAAAAAGAAGGTCTGAAGGGGTCTGCCCCATTCATCACCAGTCCACAGATTCTGAAGACCTCTCCTTTTCCCCACCTGCCTCCTACAGGTGAGTACCCATCACCCACCACTCCATTCCTTGGCAGAACCTAGAGAGAAGGGTTGTCCAGATAAGGGTCCCAGCAGGCAGAGAGTGGAATCCTGGGCCCTTGAACTCCCCAGAACTGTAGGCTAAATTCTGTAGATTAAGCACTTATGTATTTTGGGGAGAGAGAATCCATATTTTCATCAGAGTCTCAAAAGTGTAGATGAAGCCTTCTTGCTCCTCCCCAACACATACTCTCCTCTCCTTTTTGTCCCCTCACTGAATTCAAATACTCTCAGATTTTCAGCTCACAAAACACTTTTAACCCCACCCTACACCATACAAAGCCTTGTGTGGAGGCATTGCCATCCTCCTTTTCACAGATGAGCAAAACAGAAGCTGGAGGTGGTGGTGGTGGGGGTCATGTCTTACCCAAGGTCACGGCTCATAAGAATGAAGACTGAAACCTGATTCTGACTCTCAAGCTGGCACTCCTTGGAGAACTCTCGCCCAAGCCCTCTAGCTACCCCACCTGTTGTTGGATTCACTTCCTCACCCCAAAACCAAATCTGGAGCTCTCAGGTTCCCTCTGCCTGGTTTCAGAGTCCCAAAAAGCTGTTTCCGGCGGGAGCCTCCCGCCCCTGGGGCTCTGGCTAAGGTTGCACGCAGGCCTGGGAGCAGCAGGTTCCGGGCCGCAGGATGGTGGCCTGGTTCAGCCCACCCCAAAGGGCCACTCCGGGGACAAGAGCACGCGAGGTCAGGGGCACACACACTAGCGCGCGCGCAAGTGTAGAGTTGGCGCCGCCTTACACCTCCTCCTGGAAGACGTGGAAGAAAAAGGAGGAAAGGGCATCACCTGGCAGGTTCCCGATGACTGCCCCAGTCAGATAAGAACCTAGAGTCCAGAGCCCCAGACTGTGGGGGAAGGGGTGGAGAGTCAAATGGGGGCGCTCTAGGCCTTGGGCGCCAGGCCGGGGTCTGGGGCTGGGAGCCTTTGGGTGCAGCCAAGACAAAGATGGAGAGGCAAGGTCTGTGCGCCACCTCCAATGGCGCGGGGCGCGTCGGAGCCCCAAGGGRTCTGAAGAGTGGGCACATTCTAGAGACTCAGGGACGGTGACAGGTCAGATCTAAGAACAAGACAGGGGGCATCCGGAAGGCGCAGGTGAGTAGGGAGAGTTGGGTCCAGGCGGCCCAAGGGCCCACCTGCGAGAAACGGGTGCAAACGATCTCTGGTCCCTGGGGGGAAGTCTAGAAGACGGCCCATCCTAGAGCCCCTGCGGTCCCGTGGAATGGGAAGGAGACCCTGGGGACGCTTCCCGAGAGGGGCAGGGGTGGAGAGAAGACACAGGCCACCTCTGAGGGTGCACCGGATCCAGGAGGGGGCCTCCGGATCTGGATCCCGGGGCACCCCCGGGGTCGGGGGCGGGCCGCGCGCTTACCCGCGTCTTCGTCGTCGAAGGAGTTCATGCACGGGAAGTAGATGGCGAGCGCCTCGAAGGAGGCGGACAGGCTGAGGCGGCTCTGCGAGCGCTCCATGCCCGCGCCGGCGCCGGGCGCCTCGGCCGCGCCGGCGGCGGCGGCGGCGGGCGGCTTGGGCAGCTTGGCCGCCCCATTCTTGACGCGGAGTACGGCGCGCGGCGTGGTGGCAGCGGCCCGGGGCCGGCCCGGGGCTCCGCGGCGGGGCTGGCGGGCGCGGCGGGGCCGGCGGGCGGGCGGGCGACAGGAGGGCCGGGCGCTGGCGGCGCACGGAGTCGGAGGCGCGCTGTGCTCCTGGCAGCAGCGGTGGCAGCGGTGGCGGCGGCAGCGGCGGTGGCGGCGCAGCGCGCTCTGGCCCGCGGCGCCCCCCGCCGGCCGCGCGGGGCGGGCTCCGAGCGGCGCGCCGCAGCCAATCGGCGCCGCCCGGGGGAGGGGGCGCTGGCTGCGGGGCGTGGGAGCCGGAGGGTGCGGGCTGCGCCCCGCTCTCGCCGCCACAGTCCGCGCAGGTGTGCCAGCCGGGAGCCAGGCGCGCACTAAGACTGGCTGCGCCCGGTCCTACGGCGAACCCCCCGCCCGCCCTACCCCCACTCTCAGTCCTCAGAACCGCCCAGATGCAGGCTTACACTTACCGACCCAGGCAGGCCTCAGCCAGGGACAGACACTCTCTGGAAAGGGCCACTCTCGGAGACCAGCGCAGACCCCTGTCACTCGTGCTTTCGCCCAGAGACCCTCGAATCACTAGCACACTCACAATGACATTCCCTCTGCAAGAAGGCAGCACAGATGCCATGAGACGCAGACGCAGACGGCTGGACAGACACACCCAGACTCATTCATAGACATCTAGACAGACAAATCCATGGACACACACAAGACTCACACAGATACAGCAAAGGACACCCTCAGACTGGCACATGAGGACCACATGGGCAGATACAGCAAAGGACACCCTCAGATAGGCACATGGGAACCTGCAGACACACTTGGAGCCACAGGCAGGACACCCTTGGCAACCGGCATCCCACCCAAGGGAGATCCTCAGGTCCCACAAAAACTGTGGAAGGTCGGCCAAGCACACACATCCCATGCGCCCACGCTGCCTCACAGACAGAGAATTCCAGCATACAGACATATACACTTGGATGGACACACAGCTCCAGACTCACATGCACACACTCATTGCCAACCCTGCTTTGACCACCTCATCATTGCCAAACATTTGGACAGACACCCATCAGTGGGCATGTGCATACACATGGAGACAACCACACAGACTCAGTCACTCCATGACAGATACATTCTGATGCTCAGACACCCTCAGACTCATAGGACTCTGAGACACACTGCAGCAGGCTCACACTCGCACACTCTCCCACATATGGACCCCCAGTGAGTACAGACCTCACACTCACACCCACAAGCTCAGACACTCAGGGCCCCAGGACAGAGAGAAGCACAGTGGGAACACCACACGGTGCTCCCTGGCCTGACCTAGGACCTGAGGCTCCCCACCCACTCAGCCAGGCCCCTAGGCTCACCTGCCCAGCAGTCCCCACCCATCTTGAGGAAGCAGCCTGCTGAGATGCCCTGGGAAAGAACGAGCCCAGCATTTCCATCTCAAGGGTGACGCCATCCTTCTGGGTGGTGCAGAGTGAAACCCTCTATTTCATGGCTCTATTTCCTCATCTGTACAATGGGCACCCCCCATTTTGGATGGTTGTGAGGATTATGTAAGACAGCATGGACCTTAGTTGCTGCACAACCAACTCAGTGACTTTAAAACAACAGCCTTTTATTTGCTCACAGTTCTGTGGGTCTCTAGAAACCTGGGCAGCTTCAGCTGCATTTTCCGCTTAGGTTCTCACACAAATTTGGCCAGGCCTGACTCATATCTGCAGGCTCTGGAGAAGAATCTGCTTCCAAGAGCATTCAGGTTGTGGCAGGATTTGGTTCCTTGTGGTTACAAGACTGAGGTCCCTGTTCCCTTGTGGGATGTTGGCCAGGAGTCAATCTCAGCTCCTGGAAGTGGTTCTCTGGCTCTTGTACATGGTCCCGTCCATCTTCAAGGCCACCATACATATCAAACTCTTCTCATCCTTTGAATCTCCCTGGCTTCCATCTGCTCTCTAGTCCAACAACATGCTTGCTCATAGAGGGCTGTGTGGTCAGATTAGGTCTGTCTGGATAATCACCTTGGATGTATCATGAAACATAATCATGGTGATGATATCTTATCCTGGTCACAGTTTCTACCCACACTCACATGGGGGGATTATCAAGGGCAGGGATCACCGGGTCATTCTGCCACACACTATGTAAAGCACCTAGCTCAGTACTTGGCACCAGGGGTGCTCTTGAGCTCTTTCCAAGAACCCGTCTTAGGCCTTGAGAGCAAGCAGCAGGGTGCATTGGTTAAGAGTGCTTCCCACCTGCCGTCCTCATCTGGGTAGCTCCATTTTCCTAGTTATTCAGACTCCATATCCTCGACTTCTTTCTTACACAGCACATTCAATCCTTCAATAGTTCCTGTTGATTCTGCACCCACAGTATATCCAGAAACTGACCACTTCTCTACCCAGCACCTCCCATGGCTTCCCTCTCCTTCAGGGTCAAAGTCCAAATGCTACGTTCTACCAAGTCCTAACTTTATTGCCTCTGCCACCTCTCCATTCTCATCTCCAACACATCCTGTGGCTCACTGGGCTCCAGACCCATTAGATTTCCTGTTCCCTCTGCCTCAAACACTCTCCCTTGCAGAGAGCCAAGGGGCTCACTCTTATGTTCAAATGTCATCCTTTGTAAAGTAGCAGAATCCCCTCCCTGAAATGCCAAATCCTCCGTACCTTGCTGCACTCTCTCCCTGTCTGACACATCACATATGTGGGGGGGGGGGTAATATATGTGAACACATGCCCACATACACCTTTGTGTGTGTGTGTGTGTGTGTGTGTATGCGCATTTTTCTTGTTTGTTGTTATCTGTCTTTCCCTCCCTCTCCCTGGAGCATAGGGAGAGAGCCTGGTTAAAAGGTGGTGCTCAATAACTAGCTGTGGATTGGATAAAGAAAACCACCCCAGCTTTGAAGGAGGTAACCTTAGCATCCCTCCCCCTTCCTCTACAGATGAAGAGCTGAGGCTCACAGAGGGAGACTGGCTTACTCAAGGCCACAGAGGGAAGGGCAGGAGATTGGAGCCTAATTCAAAAGTTTGTCCTTCCCACAGTTCTGCTTGGCCTCCTAAGACCAGGGCAGAGGAGCAGCATGTGGGAGGAGACGTAAGGGCAATAGGGGGACCAGGGAAGGAGCCATGGAATCTCTGGAGCCCAAGAGGACTGTCCCAAGAGACTCCAAGGAGCAGGCAAGGGAGGACTCTGAGGAGCAAGCCCAAGACGACTGTCAGTGAGACTCCAAGGGAGAGATCCATCTGGGTGCCCAGCCTGGCAAACCTCAGTATAGCCCCTGCTGACATCTGCTGGCAACACATGAGAGACACAGAGCCGGAGCTGCTCAGCAGAGCCCTCCCCACACCACTGACCACAGAAGAGACGGCTGTCAGGTAACACCGCTAAGTTTGGGGATCATATTTTACACTACAATGGAATAATGAATTTGAGTGGGTGAATTAATCTCTCCAGCCTTGGTTCCTTCAATTGTAAAACAGGGATAAAGTCTTACAGTGTGGGCATCACCACCAAGTGAGTCCACAAACGTGGAGATCTTAGAACAACAATCCAACACAGTAAGATCTCTGCCAGAGCCGTGTGCACAGAGCTAGAAGGAATAGAAATATCATCCATCTCGTCTGGAAGAGAGGGAAACTGAGGCCCCCAGCACAAGGGACTGCCTCGAGCCGTACAGTACATAGGGAGAGAGCTGTTGGCAGAACACAGGTCTCCTGACCTGGGCCTTGCTCTTCCTGCTGTGCTCCAGGTCACCTCCTCACCTGGCAAGAATGACTGTGAGGTTAGTTGTACACAAGAGGAAAAGCAGCCTGAGAAAGCTAAGCAAGCCTTGGGTGGACTGCCTGGGGTGAGTCCTTCTCTCTTGGTTAGCCCATGTCTAAAATTCCACCAGGAGTTCAGGCCGGGAAGCGTTAAGTCTTTGATGCCTTTTAAATATGTAGTTTCCCTGGGAAGTTTAAGTGGCCAGCACTTGCACCTGCTGAGGATCGTCCATTCTCAGAACAAGCCCGACAGTGGGGGCTGCTTGAGATTGTGGATGGGGAAAAGGCCAACATAGATCCAGGAGAAGGAAGAGATGGGAAATCAAAGACAAACTGCCAGTTTGAGATGGAGATGGCAAAGGTCAGACAGGTCCATCGGAGCTCAAGAAGTATTGCCTGATGAACTTAAGTGCACGTTCTTATTTTGGCTTATGTGACCTTGGGTATGTCCCTTCAGGGTTCCCGTCAAAAAATAAGAATAATGAACACTCGCTTTGCAAAGTCATGGTGAGGACTAAGTGTATGGAGAGTGCTGGCATCTAGTAGATACTTACTAGGTGCATTCATTGAGTAAAATTTCCAAGTGCCCACTGTGAGCAGGGATGATCACACAAACCTGGCCTCTGCCTTCACAGTTTAAAGTTTGGCAACACATAATTATGCCAGTAATTATTTAATGACATTATCTAATACTTTCATTATAATTACTTTAATCACAATTGTGATAAATGCCACAAAAGATATACAGAGTACCTTATGCTCTTTATAGTGGGTGTGTGTACCTACGAGTGGGCGGGGGCTCTCACCCAGCCTCCTGACGGAGCAGGCTCCCTGGGCAGGTGATGTTTGGGCTGGAAATGTTGCCTGCTTTGAGTCTGTACTGTTCTTGGCCCTGAGGATTTATCAGAAAAGAAAATAAAGTCCCCGCCCTCCCATTTGCATTTTGAAATTGTCTTGGGGATGCTGGGGGGCGGGGGAAGCGGGGAGGAGTTAAGTGTCCCCTGCTTCTCTTCAGTAAGTTCTGATTTCAACAACAACAACCAAAAAAAAAAAAAAAAAAAAACCACTGATGGTTGTTCTGCTTCCCCAGCAGAGAAAAATGGCAGGGAGAGAATGTCC